CCAAAATCAGTCTTAACAGATACTAGCCCCACCCACCCGCCCTCTCTTTTCTTAGAAAGTATCTCATTTGCCAAAATCAGTTTTATCTTAACAGTAACTAGCCCCGCCCACCCACCCTCTCTTTTCTTAGGGCGAATGTCATTTGCCAAAATCAGTTTTATGTTAGGCAGGTACTAGCCCCGCCCACCCGCCCTCTACTTTCAAGCAAGCTAAGATGGTATTTTATTTTTTTGCCATTTTAGTTAAAAAAAATTCGCAATATTATCGTCAGATCAAGTCAATTAATCGAAGCTGAATTCTAAGCGAAAAATATAGCACATCATTTTAACTCTAATTTAAAAAAATAAAAAGTCGTATTGGAAAATTTACAAAAAATAAAAATTTAGCTTTATTAAAAAAAATAATTTTTAATAAGTAGCAATTAGCAATATATATAATTGTTTTATTAGGAGTAGATTAATTAGAGGTGAAGAAATTAGTATATTATTTCTTCATTTGAAAAAAATAGAGTCGTGCTTAAATACTGAAAAATCTTTTTTTTTTCCTAAAAGAAGTTTTTGACTAAACACTTATAAACGGTAACGTTTTTTCGGGACGTTTCATGCTCTTTTATTTTATTAGTTAGACAATCGCCGAAACTACTAGACCGATTGTTGTCAAATTTTGAATGTATATTAAGAATATCATGTAGATGACAAAACGCTAACCAAAATTTTTCTAAACGTCCCAACTAACAACGTAATAACATTCAAAATTTTGTGCAATAAACATAAATTAAACTTTAAAGAATAGTATACTCCCACATTTTTGTTTAGTGGAAAATGTTTTGTTTTATTATTATTGTTATTATAGTTGATATTGTTTAAACAACCTTCATATTTTGCCAATAACATAAACCAGGCGTTATGTTATCAAATTTTGTATATATTTGTATAAAATTTCCAAAATTAATAATAGTATTTTTTTTTTAATTTTATAAAATAACATACTTCTGTACTTGTGGTGTATGAATCCGTCTCGAATTTTCAGCTTAGATATCCAGAATTTTTGAAAAAAATTCCAAACTGTTTAACAATATCTTGCTTAACTTTAAAACTGCAAAACCGAAAGCTCTGAAATCTTGTAAATATTTTGAGTTTATCGTAATCATGGTAAATCGTTAAGCAAAATTTATTCGTTTATCCCCTGCCAAAAAATTGGTGACGTCATCTCAAAATCTTGCTGAATGAATCCTATTTAAAATATACAAAATATGGTGAGTGTGATTTATCACTGCATTAAAAAATTTTACATTTCTTATACAGCGTGACTCATCAAAATTTATGAATGAGTCAGTTTATTTTATTGATTAAATCTGGAACCGCTCAATACAATAATGGTTTGTCACTAGTATTACACTGCACCTGTCCAAAGTGATACAAGTGTCTTTGCAAAAATGTTGATGACGTCATCACAAAATTTTGTAAATAGAAAACGCAATTAGAACGTACGCACACTTCTTTACATTTACTTCAACCTTACACACATACCTTTATCTTAACTTATTTATCATTAAAAAAAATAAAAATCACATAATCAAATATTATAACTTTTCGAAAAATCTGGATGTACTTCAGAGGCGAGGCAAGTTTTGTCGAAATAACTTTCCAGCATTTTTTCCACCAAAATAAGAACGGTACATTAGTGAATGTAAAACAAAAATGAGGAATACTGAAATATAGTTGAAAAAAGTCAAAAAAAGTTACGTTTTCTACATGTTTCATTATCCATACAGTGTGAAAAATTGGGTCTCCCGTTTTAGACTGTCTTACTGTCTGCCCGCCGTCTCTCCAGTATTTGTTGTTTATGAATCCATCTTCGGATTTTCCAAGGTCATTCAAAATCGCCTACGTTCCAATGTGATATTGTTTAATCAAAATTAACAGTAACAGAGTAACAACAAATTTCATTTAATTGATGCCCCAGGATACTACAAAATATATTGTAACACAGATTTTAAAACATCCTACTGCGATTTTTTTGTGAACCCTTTGTGACTCAAGATCAGCTTGTATATTATGAAGCCATTACATAAATATTAAATTTATATTTTATGATTATGACATTCTTTGAATAAATTAATGTTTGTAAGAACATAATTCCTGGAAAATTACCTTGATTGATTTGACTGATTGTATGAACCTACCCAATCGTGTTCCGTAATCGACAAAATTAAATATTTCCTTGTTACTTTGCCACACACACGATAATTAACCCATTGTAATGACCCTGTATTAAACATGACTGAATAGCACGAATTATATGGCATGAATTATGAAATTGGTCACTGGGGGTAGTTTGTAAGTAATTAGTGTTTTTACGTTCAAACTAAACATTTTGCAACTTGTTCATTGCGTACCAAATAATACCCACTTCGAGGTTTGTTTCCAAAATGAAAGGTTTGTCTAACGTAAAATTTTCTTTCGTAATTAAAGTGAGTTGTGGGCGCAGTAAAACTAGAGAATGGAAATAACATTTGCGTTCAGGCTGAATTTCGCCCATAAACGTACTCATTTTTATTTATGTTGTGAATATCAGTGTGGATGTAAAATAAACGCAGTCGTGTAATGAAACGTGCGTAAAAAGTCCAGACAATACAAGAAATAAGAAAAATGTTTGCAAATGAAATGGAAATGTTATCCAACGGAGCAATTAATTTAGTCGGAATATAATCTGCATGTCGAGTTATTATTTTACTAATTTTAATTTAGATAACGTTATGAACGGAGTTACCGAATGTGCGTGAAACGTTCATTCATTTTATTCTGAATGAGTTTAATTAACAACATTTAAACATTGTAAACAAGTGTCAGCACTGAAACACAACGTATTATTGTTGGTACCTTTTCAGGAGAGTGAAATGTAGGCAGTGTTCAGATTTGCATAAATTTTACACATCCGTTACACAACGGAAATACTACCGAAAATATTGGTGTTTAGGATTTCGGAATAAATTTCAAAGCAAACGGTGCGAAATTTCCAAAAGCAAAATATTATTCGTCACGCAGGGAGAAACAATGGGTAATGAGAGCTCGACACTTCACGGTTATTTTTTAATAATGAGTTCGTCTCTGTTATTTACAACCGTCGGTTTTGCCCTCGATTTCACACTACTTGAATTCCAGGAGAAATAAGTCACAAAATTGGTGGATTAATTTTCAAAGTAGAATCGACCATTCAAGAATTCCTTTCCGCTCCAAGACTATTGCAGCCGGAAAATCCCCAACCAGCATTCTCCAACAGTCCGCCTCCTCCATAAATACCGATTTTTATTATTCCACTAGTCGATAATCGCGCACCTGTAAAAACACCGCTAAATTAGAGATTTCGTTATACCGACTTCAGTTAATAAATAACCACTTTTTCCCGGAAGCTATAATTACAAAAAGAAACGCCACCGCGTTTTGTTGTTTTTGTCACTAATCACACTTGTTGATGATAGGGTGGTTTATTATTTATTCGGGCGAGCTTGGCCGGGCAGGGTAAGAATTCGGGGGTGGATGAACCGAAACCACTAGCCGGAGAAAGGATGAGGCGCATAAAAGAGGATTAATTAGCTATAATTAGAATTGTTTTGGTTAGATTTTTGAAGTCGGCGGTTGGGTTACGCCGAAAAATATCGAGGAATTCACAAATGAAGGGGAATGAAGCGATACGTCGAAAGCTGCTTAGAGAGGTTTATAATTCTGGAAACAGACTCGAGTTTTATCAATAAATCAGATTTATAAAAATTTTAATCTTGTATGAGTTTTAGAAACAATATTTGGTGGCAGAATTAAAGCACGACACATCAGCGGTGGCTGTGGACGTTATTTATGTAGACGCAAACATTTAATATTGATAGTAATGAAAGTGAATCATTGATTTTCGTTAAATTAATACAAGCTGGCGCCGTTTTTGCTTTTAAGGTTACTATGTGTATGTCACTTATCGGTTTAACCAATCTAGAAACAAGATAGTCACACTAATTGATTTTAAAACACCAAGATGGCACCCCCTTAAATCAACGATTTTATCCGCACGGAAGGACTATGCTTGTTCTATTTTGACAGTTGGTGAGTTGGTCAAGTCGGCTGGTGCTTACATTTGAGAACTTTTTGTGGAAAAAGTATCAAAAATATCGCAGAAAATTGTCTGAAACTGAAGAAAATAGCTTCTGGGACCTATTCCATTACAATTTAAGGGTGAGTGCGTGGAATTTTTGATAGTTTCCAGTACCTGTGGAAATTGCATGTAACCAACTTTTTCAGGCTAAAACCGCCAATTTTAACAAAATCTGACACGATATGGTCATCAAATGTCGTTAACAGTGTTCTAAAAGCTTCAATTTCGAGATTTTAGTTAAAAATTTTCATTTTAGGGTGTTTTATTGAAATAGATGAAATTATAGATCTACCACGTGGATCAATTTTCCGTCGTGTCCCGCTAAACGTATCGATCTGCTCTAATCAGTAAGTAACTGGTATAATTATTTTTTTTTAATAGGTGGAAGTAATTTAAATCACCTTTCGAGTCGAGACATTACGTATAGCCAGTGAATTACCGGAAAAATTGTACATTACAATAAATTCACATCTTCGGTAATAAATGTCGTTGCTAGTGCGACAAATTAAAAATTTTAATCAAATCTGTAACATGTTTTCTTACAAATAACTCTGTGATTAACCTAAAAATAACCCGTGGATGACGCTCCATTTTGCCAAATCAGCGCCAACTTAATTCTGAACTTGAACCCACTATTGTAACATTCCGCCCGTCCCACCGCCGATTTTTGCAACCCGACTCATCCCGGTCTCTTGTCGAAGCTTTAACACTAGCACTGCTCAAATTGATGATGAAACTATTTTCCAGGTGAGATCGTACCGCCGTCGGCTCCGGTCGCCCGCGTCCGGAATTTTCCGGTAGGGGTTTCCTCCCTTAACTCGCAGAAGGCCTGGCGTCAGTAACGTTTCGGTGTCGACCAGGGGTGGTTTTTTCGTGCCACTTTGCCGCGTACGGTACACGTTTCGTCAATGACATAATCAAGCCTCGATTTTTTTTATTTTTTGGTGGGACGACTCCAGTGCGGTGAAACTGTGAAGTGAAAATGTATATTTGGGGGGTTGTTTTTGGGGCGCTTTTCTGCAGTGGGGCTTGCCAGACCCTGGTGCCGGAGGACGAAGAGACAGGTCGGTAGTGGTGCGTTGTCGCGCAAAAAAATTTTCTTCGGCCGCGCTTTATTTAAGCAGGGGTGTAATTCGACGCGCGTGGGCGGCCTGCCGCCCCGATAATAAATAATTATTGCGCCCTTAAATAAATTTCGTTCATAATTCATGCTGTAATTAGTTTTACATCACGTACGGCATAATTGACCCCGAAACGTCAAATAATGTTAATTTGGCACATTGATCACATTTTAAGTTGCGCAATTCGCGTTTGTAGTAATACAGCCGGCGAGGCGTTGAACTTTGGCAGAACAAGAAATCCGAATGTTAATCTAAACCAAAAACCCAATTATTATAATCCTGATAAGAAGCAAGCGTCAAACGAGCTTACGATAAAGAATATTCGCAAAAAAAGTCATTTTCGGAATCATATTCTCTAAAATTAAGCTTCCCAGGCTTAGCTCGGGGCTACATTTCCCCAAAACAATAGCGCAGAAGGTTATTTGCAAATCTTAATTTACCTCCTGTTGCTATTATCATCATCACTTAAAATAAATTGCGTGTAAAAGCGTTGTGTTAGCTGAATGTTGGCTTAAAAAGTGCACAAAGTGTTGGAAATTAATTTTTTTCGGCTGTCACACGCTGTCATGTTGAATGGAAATTAACTTTTTACAGTAATGGAGGGTGTGGGTTGCATTAAAACAAATTTTAATCGATCGGAAACATGAAGTTGAAGTCTTTTCGTCGCGAAGTAATAGGGTCGCAGTCCGTATTATATATATTTACATGGTGTAATGGTGTCTTTGACCACATTACAACAACGGAAACTTTTTTATGGTTTTTGTTCATAAGCGTTTCCGCTGCGATGTTTTTATTTTTAACAAACGCGATAATATAGAAAATGTTAGCAACAACATAATGGAATAGAAGCACAATAAAATGCCCCCAGTCACAATACTAAAACATCGAGAACAAATAACTTTTTATATCGTTTTATTGAATAAAATTCTTTTTAGAATACAATGCTTCTGAAAGATGAAGCCCGCAAAATATAGCTGGAAAACTTACAAAAATCGCCATCTTGGGAAACTAAATAATTAGCGAGCTTGCTGCTGATCCTTGAAAGCGAATAAAAGAGAGAATGAAATAATTAAAAACTGAAATGCGCACTATTTTGCAATACAAAGTTTTCAATATATTTTTTTAAAAGTTGAAATCAACTTTTACGTTAAAATTGAAAAAGGGAATCACTATACTTGTGAAAAGTTCTTTTCATTTTAATACTAATAATGCTCTATATTAAACGGTAATCTCCTTTGCTCGAAATTGACAAACAATCTTTTGAAGTCGCTTAATACCAAAGCAATAGGATAGACGTCTGCTTGTAAATTTGATTTAGACAAATGAAATTGCGTTCAGGCTTCAAAATAGAGTAACTACGAAAAAATGTTTGACGAAATTGCAACGTTCAGTTTTTTTAATAAATCTTCAAACGGTTTTCCGCTTTGTCTGCCTTTTAACAAAGCTCGATAACCATTTATCGCTAAAAACGTAACTACGTGCTTCCAAAATTAAAGCCACAATAATAAAGTCTGTTAAATAAAAATCATGAAATTTCTTGAAATTGTATTACTCTACAGGCTTGCCTAATGCGATAATTTTGAAGCGACGTCATCGACTCCATAGTGGGGATAAATGTATCAGTTTCGATATATTCTTAAAACTTGAAAAATAATTCAGAAATCTGATTGTAGAAATTAATTTCTGTTAGTGCTTTTGTCAGATTGATTAAGTATTCCGGGATATACTTTTTCAATTTACGAAATCTCGTACAAAGAAAAAGTAATTCACAAAAATTTCGTAAGGCCCAATAATTTATTTACTGGAGCTTCTGTGAAACAAATGTTTATAAAAACAGAACAATTTATTTCTCTGCACAAACGCGCTTAAAAGCCTGGAAAAGTAATATCATAAACGTTGTTAATTTTTTATCAATACAAACATCCGCAGCTGCTTTGTGTGTTGTTTTAATTGTGTGGACTGAAATCATTCGGCTAAGCCATTAATAAATAACTATGAAAAATGATTTTTTGTTTACTGGTCAGTGAAATTCCGTATTATTTTTAAAAATGCACGCGTACACTTTGTAGTACAACCACTTTGATGTAATTTTAAATTTTCATATCGCCGTCAAAATCAACCAAATTAGATTTTATCGTGAACAATAATGTAGTAAACATGAAATTTTAATAAACCGTGCACATTACTAATACATTAAAATAAATTGTTTTCAAAGCAAAATTATTTTGTGGCAATATTGATATGAAATTCGGAATAAAGAGAAAATTATCCTTTCAAAATTTCCCACTTTACATTGTTACAACAATCGATGGAATATTCTCGTATGCTTTGAACCGTCGTTCAACATATGCAATATTATCATTAGCAATGTCAAGAGCACTAAAATTCTCGATTATGTTTCAATAGCGCGGTGTGTACCAGCAAAGCATATCGGTTGAACAGTCTAAATATTCTATTCAACCACAACGGTTATTGTCGTGCTGAAAGCTACTCTAGTTAATAGTTTATAAAACTAAATTTTAGCTCGGGGGCGGTCATCCGCAATAATTTCTAGCTTACGTTTCATAAATTTTGCCACCACGTACGCGGCCGTTATTTCAAAATAAAAATTTTAATTATAGGGGAACGATCTCCAGAGTAAATAAATTTTTACGGTTAAGCTGCGCTAAAACATTTTTATTTCGTTGCGAGTTGATACTATATGCGAAAAATTAGGGTAACTGAATTTTGGGGTTATTCAGAGCATGACGTTGAGATACGCATCTGTTGTTACCCAGAGTTGCCAAATTGTGTCTGATAATGGTAATTTTTTATTGTTTATAAATCTTTTTTAACGAGATTTTTTCAAGCAAGTTGCGAATTCCCAAGTGAAAATAATCCTTCAAAGTGTTTTTTCTAAAAGAAAAATCATTCATGAAATATTTTTATTCGTTAGCTGTTTCAGATGAAAACTGAAACGAGTGCCGCTGAAAAACGCAAATTCTTAAAATGTATTTTTTAAAGAACAATTTTTTGTGTGTTTATTAACCTGTTAAATTTAAATTGAAGATTTCTGAATAACTCACATTCTTCGTAGTAGCGCATTTTAACACGACAGCGAGAAAATTTAAGTTTAACAAATGTATTTTTTTTGTATCTGTCTATTTTTTGTCTCAGATGGTTTTATTTGTTTTATTTGTAATTGAGCTAACAGTACATAATTCTTTATTAACTTCTAAATTATGTAAAATATGCAAACAGGACCAGCATTATTATTTCTCTCACGTACACTCCAAAATATTTAACAAACGGGGTTTTCTAGTTTTAACAGACAGCAGACGTCGGAACTAATTTTATGCATTCTGAAGGGCCCTCGCATTCACCGTGGAACAACGTTAATTTCGGAGTTATGATGAAATATGCATTTTTGCGAACTACAGTTGTATACATTGCGTTTTGTAGCAGATTTCCCATAAATTAATTTTTAATATATTCATCTACAACTACAATAGTTTGTTTTATTATTAAAATGACCCAGAAGAATCAATAAAAAAAAGATGTCGAGGCGGTGACCGAGCGACCAAAACATTCGAGGGTCCTAAAAATTTTGCTAACCAGGTTTTACCGCAGACACAAAAATTGGTTGGCGTTGTTTTAAACTTTTATCAGTCGAGATTTTTGCGGTGACACGGCCAAATTTTTAATGAATATAAAAAATCGTGATGTCACGTCAAAGTTTTCAAGTTTATATAATGATAATAACGAGGACAAGTGATTTTAAAGCCGGATTTGCATTTTCGCATAAGTCATATTCCGCATCCTCCGAAGGGCGTGTCAGGGTCAGGAACCAGGATCGAAGTCACCTCTCCGACCCTCCACATTTGCCATTTAGATGATAATTTAATTCATTGTTAAGTCTGTGCAAAGAACAACAGAACAACTGTTGTGGGAAACGATAACATAAATCAGCATAACGTCAACGTAAGAAAGGGGTTGCTGTAAGTACCCTTAATTCCGTATTTTTCCCCGGCTGTACGTTATCTTTATTAAGAGGGCGAGATCCGCCCACGACTTGTTTTAGAAGGGGGTTGTTAGCTATTAAGTTCCTATTAAAGTTGCTACAAATCAAACGTTGTTTCCCCGACTCTCGGAATAAAACGGAATAATTAAATGATTATTAATAAGCTGAATGAGTCGAGGATTATGACGTTTTATTCGGGGGAATTCGTTCCATTCATGGTCGGATCGATTCGAGCCTCCCTTCTCGGATTTTATCGCGAAATCTTTATATTTTATTAATAATTACACGGTGTGTATCACGGAAAAACGGGCTAATTATGCGGCCGAGTTTATTTATATTCAAAATAGCGGCGAGGCGCAACGCCTGCCCTGTATTGTGTTACGCAATGTTTTGTTTGTCAAGGTGAGAATGGATGGGGTAATAATAGAGTGATGGTAATGACTGGGTTTTAGGTTGTTAATGAATTTTCGAAAGCAATCAACCTCGTAAAGGGAAACAATATGTGTGAAAGTTACGGCGTGGAGACAAATTTCATATTGTGGTACAGTCGAAAAATAAATATCATCAATTCACAATTCTTTTTCTTCAATTATTCGGCTATTCTGAATGTAATTTCTTTAATTTCGTTAAAAATATCTTACGGTAAATTTACTCGAGACGCCCACTTTTAAAGATAATGGGCGCCGAGATTCTACAATACAAATTAATTATTTTTGTCTCAGAAATTGGATTTTTTATTAAAGCAAAGCAGTAATTTTGCAAATACAATTTCCAGTGAACGATTTTTTAATAGAGCCACGGTATCTTGATTATCTCTCAAACTATGCGCCCCACGTGAATTTATCGAGACACATATTTTGATTTAGGGTTGTCTATGATAGAATAGAAATTTCTGTGACATCGACAATCGAAATAATTCAAATATGTGTCGCACAGTTCAGCA